ATTGTGTTTGGCACATCAATACATACTTCATCTTTTGACCTTGAAAGTGAATGACATATTTCAAATCTCAGTCAAAGTTAAATTACCTTTCCATCATATATTTCATCTTTGTGGTTAACATCAATCGCCCCAGAAGCCATCACACGAACAGGGTTAGCACCAGCAAACAGCCTCATCAGATCAAAGAAGTGGCAGCACTTTTCTACCAGAGTCCCTCCAGAGTTAATGTTAAACCGGTTCCAATTGTTGACCTATTACAAGCATGGTTCCATAAGATGAACTGCAACAGGATGAATATTGAAAATTCACTTGCATTACATACCTTAACCAAGAAAGGAAAACGATGTTCACGGATTGCCACCATTTTGACCTGTCCAAGGCTTCCACCCTTCACTATTTCTATCAGTTTAGCAACAGGTGGCATGTATCTATACTCCAGTCCAACTTGAACCAGAATATCCTGCCTCTTTCTGGCAGCATTTACGACCTAATTCCACACACACTATATGATGCAGATCAATCACTTATTTATAGGCAAAAAAAAAATACCCTCCCCAAAGGAAAAAGAAAATAGTGACATATGCTATAAAATGTATGAGATAAAGCATTAACATATTCTGTGACATCCGTGTATATTCACCAATATGTACATGTGCATCTGTGTGTGTGTTTGTGTAAGCACTGAATACTAGCTGAACACAAAAGAAACGATGTTCATGCTTCAAAGGATGCTTGCATTGGGTTGGACACCAACTCACAGAAAAATGAACTAATCCATTTCTGTACACATTGTCTGGAATTTTCTTGTCAATGCATTCTTCCTGCTACTTAGGAGCAGTTCATCTTCATTTAATCATTGAGTGATAAAATAACAACTCTAGAAACTTGATTTGCAACTCAATAAGAAACGATCACTCATTATTTATTGAACATAGCAAGATGGAACCAGACTGGGTCAGACATCAGACATCATACTGTCAAATATTATGTGCTCTAGATCAGATAACACAATCGATGTCAAGATGCGGCTAAATCCCGCATGATTGAACATAGAAAGCTACTACAATGTGGAAAATATGCTCTCAATCAAATAACAAATAGATGTCACACTAAGAAAGACACGGATAAATCTAGCACTAATCTACAACAATGTAGAACAATGTGAATCCCTCAGAAATAATCTCAGCTGATGTTTGCGTTTCACTATAACTTTAACACATTCATTCCCTACACTGTGTCAAAAGTCCATGTCCCAATTTAGTCACAGTTAACAAGAAATAAAGGCTCAAAAACTATCACTCGAATCAGTTCAATTTCTTAAAGTAGTGCATTAGAGAGAGATTATGTTCAAAGGCACTATTTCGACCTTATGTATCAAAGGTAATGTAATGGATTACATCTAAAAAAGATGAAATGTAGGTAGAATTAACAGTACTTCTGATCGACGGACCTCTTTGCAGTGAGCTACTGTTGTACACAATGGCTTCTCCACTAGTACATGGTGGGGTTTGGGGTGGTTGATGATATCCATCAGAATTTGATAATGGGTCATATTTGGAGATGACACAACCACTACATCACAGAGCAGGCTGTCCAATAGGTCATTGTGTGCTGAAAAAACCTTTAAAACCATTCAAGTCATAAACCTTATTTCCGAGATATCACTTGATAAAATAAATCACAAACATGGAAAACAAATTAGGGAATTGAAGTCTGATCATTGCCCATTAGAATTTCAACCTTTTAAAACCGTCTGATTAGTAGCAAGAAAAAAAAGAAATCTATAAACCCTTTGATTATCAATAATCTTCTAAGCATCACTGTGTTCAATTTACAACAAGGTTTTGGAGGTGAACCATATTGGCACCATATCAAACAGTTAGAGACTACAGCAGAGCCCATACCTTTATAGGCCAATTAAAAGACTCTGCCAAATCAAGAGCAAGCTTTTGGGAAGGAACATGGGGGTCAGCTATGGCTACCACCGCAACGCCTTCGGTGCGAAGATGGTGCAAGTTGATGAGGTGCTCTCTGCCCATCATGCCCACCCCTACAATCCCATACTTGATTATATTTGAAGCAGCCATGGGTGAAATTTGGAGCTTGGGTTTGTGTTTTCTTCTACTCTTTTCACTCGCTAGCTACCGTGTTGATTTTGTTGGGTCTTCAAATTGGTTTAGATAAAATAGTTGGTTGTTGGATTTTATTGGATTGGCTTGGCTGTCATCAGATACCCAAGTCAATCTTCTACCATTCTACCTTGTGGGGCCAGCACAACAACGACTCGTCGCACACTCAATATGCATTTTTTTTTTTTTAAACTTTAAAATTTAAACCATAAAATCTTTACCGTTGAAAGGCTTTGACAATAAAAAAAAATGTTGACCGTAAATTTTGGGCCCAAGTAAAATAGAACAGCTTCAATTATGAGAACTCCTTTTCCTTATAGGATTGGGAAAGATTTAGGCTATAATTCTTGTATTTTCTACCTTGAGTGAGTGAGCATGCCAGTAGGAAATCAATTAGGTTTTGCTATTAACAAAGAGAGAGTTTTGTTGGGTCTGCGTTGTTTTCTTGAGATAGTTCGAATGGAGAATTATTGCTTCCTTAAGCCGCTCGGTCAAGGAAGTTTTGGGGTTGTATGGAAGGCTTCGCACAAGGTGACTGGTGAGATTGTTGCAATTAAGCGATTGAAGAATGAGGTATCGAGGTTGACTTCATGGGAGGAGTTTCTCCAAATGGCGGAAGTTGAGTCTCTGTCTCAGTTGAAGAACCACCCGAATATTGTCAATTTGAAACAAGCTTTAATGGCATTTGATGGCACTGCTTCCCTTGTCTTTGAATTCATGGAGGGCAACTTATTGCAATTTATGCAACTGCACAAGAAGAGATTCAACGAGGCACAAATCAGGAATGTGTGTCATCAAATTCTTCTTGGGCTAGATCACATGCATAAGAATGGGTGGTGCCACCGTGACCTCAAACCGGAAAACTTGTTGGTCAAGAAAGGTGTGGTCAAGATTGGGGATTTGGGTTCTGCTAAGAAGATTCAGCCGGGCATTCCTTTCAAAGATTATGTCACAACTCGCTGGTACAGAGCCCCGGAGGTGTTGCTCGGCTCACGCTTCTATGATTCCAAGGTTGATATGTGGGCTGTGGGTGTAATCTTGGCTGAGATGTTCAACCTCCGCCCTCTACTTCCGGGTAACAATGCGGAGGAGCAGCTGTTTTGGATTTGTAGTGTGCTAGGCAGCCCAACCATGAAGTCATGGCCTGAAGGGCAAATTCTTGCAGGGCGGGTTCAGTATCAGTTTCCACAGTTTTCTGGGTTTGGTCTCTCATTTTGCATCCCATCTGCCAGTGAGTCTGCAATTCAGCTTATTACTTCTCTTCTTTCTTGGGATCCTGCCAAGAGGCCGACTGCTGCAGAGGCACTTAAGCATCCCTTTTTCGTCGGCTCCCACCGTATTCCACGTGCCATTCCTCAGAGACATCACCATATTTTTCCTGACATTGGCGGCATTTTGGTCTAGACTAGTAATTTCATAACTCAGCAAATATTATAAGTTCATCTGTATTTGAAAGATTTTTTAGCTCTACTTTACACAATTAAATTGAATTTGTGAAGAGAGTTCATAATCATATACTGTGCAAATGCTGAATATATATATATACATTGATTCACTTTTATTATTTTGCTATGTTATATCATTTACTGATTCGTATCTGTATCTGTAGAGTTTAGCTTTCGTGTAACTTGTGTGTTGATGTATTCTATTGTAGTTCTGGCCCTTGTCTTACTCTAACACCACATGATCGTTCCCAGAGAAGTATAACTTCTGAAAATGACCTTTTGGACTCCAAACTTCCGTACCCTTCTCTATCCACAGTCGCCAAACCAAATAATGGATTGCTATATTTGAAAACTCTACATTAAACCAAAGAAACATTTCATAGCTTGAATGATGTTAATTAAGAGGATCCCAATACCATAATGATGCATCATTTCAAGTTAAGGCGAAACGAGCTAATCTATGAGTGGCTAAGTTGGCCTGTCGGAAAACCAAAAAAAACTGAAGTATTACTCAAAGTTGCAATGTACCTTAAATTTTGATTACATGATAAAATAAATTATAACAAAAATTGGAATATAACCTCAAATTTGATTGAAGGATCAAATTAGTTGAACATGATGAGTTCAATTAAAATTTTCTTTTGAAGAATAGATTATAATCAGAGAATAAATCTTCCCCCAATTGCATATCTCAGGATACATGTCCCAGTCTTTGTCATCTCAAACTACATATTCAGTTCCATGGGCTTCTTCACTTTGTAAAAGTAAGCAGAGAAGACCAAATATAATGACCAAAGCTCTGCTCTGTGTTCCAACTCTTGTCCCAGACATCTTTGAACAATAAGTGCTACAACAATCTTATCAATTACCAATGTTTAGATATTTTAGATGATGTGTTTTTCAAAAGAAGAAAGTTGTGGTATCAGACTCTTTCAATCTGTAAAAATCAATCTACTTTATGCTTGCACTTTATATTTTGGTCCGTAAACTTAAAATTCTAGCTCCGCCCCTAATTAACCAAGTAACACGTCTCATGTATTGCAAGGTTTCCTTATCATTGAATCTTAAGAACTATAAAATTTACCATCGTGTATGAACGTACATAAGAAGAGGATGTTAGAAAAGCATTCTCATGAGGACAGCTGGGGAAATGGAAACCCAAATAAAATAACACAAGGCTTTAATTTACAACTTAATACTGATTTGCCAGGAACACTTCAGGCCAAGGATTGACTGAGAATTTAAGACAGGAGACAATAGAAACCCAAGTGAACGAAGAAAAAAATAAAATCTAAAATCCTCTGTTTCTATTGATCTGATTATATCGAAATCGAATCAAACTACAGCAGCCATTGACGAAAAAGAACGGATATGATACTGGTATCTCTGTAGATAGGAGATGAAAAAGAAAAAAAAAACGTAAAATTCATACATCAGTCAAGATTAAGGAAGATACAATCACAACATATGCCAGAAAAAAGAAAATGGCTATCTGCACATAGAACTTTGGATTTTCCCTCATGTTTGGGGATGTAACCGCCCTGTAAACCAAGACCACACGTTCTAATTGTTAAAGCTGAAAATAAACAAATGAAATTGAAGAAAATGGAGGATAAAAGAAACTAATTCAGCTCGAGTTCTTGACTATGCTACGGAATTTATGGTTGCAAGAAAATGTTACCTGGCAATGCGCTGAGAAAATCGATGAAAAGGTAAACTCTGAATGAAGACGATGCCTGGCCCGGTTAGAACAGCTGTTACCAGATTGTCACTCTGTGATTTGACAACTGTTAGAAAAACTTGATTCATGGAAATTGGAAACAGAAAGAAATAACATACTTCAGAACTAAGATATAAAATTTGGGGAGGCAGAAAGCATGTTAGATTGGGGTTTTCAACATGGAAGTGGGGATCCAATAATAATTTATTTGCAATGAAAAACACTTTTTCATCACAGCAATAGTTTGCAACTATACAAGGATCATGCTAATTTGGTTATCTCTGTAGTCCAAGCACTTCCTGAATCTTTCTTGTCACTAGCACTGGCAGCCCACCATATTAATACAAGGAAGTGCTCTGGACCGTTGCGAATGTAATACAAGCCAACTACGTGGTAGAAATACAAGCACTAGCAAAAAGAGTGCAAATTTCAAGAAATTGAAGCAACTTACGCCAAACAGTGCTCTTCTCATGGTACCATTGAATTTGATTTGGATATTGACTGTTCCAGTCACGGCAGCTATACAAGACACATCAACAGATAGTACTTCGCCCACCTCAAGATTTTTCTGTACAACTAGCAAAAGGAGAAACCATAAAGACTCTAAGGTTAGTCTGAGGATCATAATTCCCTCAATAACTTAATCCCAACTAATTCAATTTTTCCAAGAAGGGATTGATGTTTTAACTTCTCATAATAGAAAAAAGAAACTATAAAACAGTATAGTTTAGAATCCAAGGAAACAGGTTAGAGCAAAAACAGAAAGGAGAAAGGTGGGGAAAAAAAAACGTAATCTGATTTGGCAAATACATGAACCTGAACATTTAAATTGATATTTAGAAACCAAGAAAACAACTGAACGGGATATGGCAAACACGGCACAACATGGAAATGAACCACTAAGAAAATTTAAACCTTAGATTGCATAAAATGCCTTCAACCTAATGCTAGAAATAAAAGTTCTCTGCATAATTTGGGGCAGTCCCAAACTCTTAATAGGCTGAATCTGAAATTTGAAGACTTATTACTGCATCAAGAAATGCATACCAGATCCACCTCCAAGTATAAATGCGAGACCTCGGCCTGACAGCTTCTGTCTTAGAAATCCCTATAGTAATATTAACACGGAAGTTAGATAGATAAAGATAATATAAATGGCTCTGAAAAATGAATTGAAGAGACAAATTTGAAAAAAGGAAAAGAGAAATTGGTTGATTGTAGTAGCAAGCAAAGCAAACAAAAAAGAAGCATTTCTGAAACTCCCCCAATATCTCACCTCTGGACCAGGAATAACATTACGTGCCCTTTGATCAATTGTGTTACTGACTTTAACATCACTGACAGAACAAAGGAATGCATCTGGCTACAAAAGGTAGAAATGAAGTCCCATAAAAAATCCAGTTGATGAACACAAGTATGATTTGATTCTAATAGAAAGTGTGAAGTATCCTAAATTGTGTATTGAAAATTGGGTGAATAACAAAAACTGGCGGGAAACAATTACTGAATGAACCAGAGATATATACCTGGCACAAAATCTCTCCACCAAACATAGCCAAATCAATCTGTCAAAAGAAGAAAAGCACAGGTGACCAAAACTAAATTAAGTTATATACCGTGGTTTGATCAAGAGCAACACAAAAAGTAATTTAAATGCCTTATCCACATAAATATGGAATGCTTAAAATCACAAACCGGGAGAACTCTTGCAAGAGTAGGTGCGCCAATCCCGACAAACCCATCACCTTGACCAGCATTACGAAAAGTTATGCTGCTGACTGTCTTCCCAAAAAGCCACTGCCACATGCCTCCTTCATTTTCAGGAACAAAAACATTTTCCATCTCGATCGACCCAGACATGAAGCACATTGAACCTAAAATTTATTCATTCATCAGTTGCACAGCAATAGTAACAAGAAATTACATGTTCTCTAAGTTCGCAGAAAAAGGACAACTTGATTGTGGCAATTATAATGCACATTATAAAAAGTAAAAGCCCAGGCTTGCAACTTACCAGGCTTCGCGATAACCTTTTCTTCTGGCTTCAACATTATCTGATAACACAAGAATCACAGACAGAAGAAGGTTAGTGAGAAAAAGCAATTTGAAGATGCAGGAGAAAATAGAGACACACACACAAACACAATAAAATAGGTTGGGATGCTTATAGCATATACCTGAACCAGTTGAGCTTCACCTCCTAAAATTTGAAAAGGTACCACAGCATCTTGTTGACTCTACAGTACAATATAGAACATTACACAAACATCATAGACTGTTAAGTAAATGCACAATCCAACTTTATTTTGTTGTAAAGCTACACACAATTAAATTCGAACAGAGCAAACCAGATACCATAAATCAGAGTAATGGGCATAAACAAAAGAAAACTACCAATAGGCACCAATAATGAGACATTTCAATTCAAAATGTATTCTAGATTACCACGTATCAAAATTACAAAGTTTCTACCGAAAAAAAAAATTGGAAATAAGTGAACAAAATCCTCCAAACACGAAAAAAAGAACAAAAAAATAAAAGGTTTCTTGCGACAGAAAGTATTCAATTCAAAGTTTGTCTCACTATTCACCAGATTTCCCAGTAGGATCAATTTTCGGAGACCTATTAGGAAGAAACAAAAATCTTAAGGAACATGTATCTTGGTTAACCGCATATGTTGATAACGCTATACAATTAAATATCCAGTCACCATTGTTCTTCATAGTAGTGCTAGTGGTACTTGTAGAAACATAAATGCATAGTTACAGATTCCCCACTGTATGCTACCTTTCTTCAGTTTCTTTTCCCTTTCTTTTCCCAAATCCTATTTCCTTAAAAACATAGTATAGAAGGGATACGTGATTTACATATAAACTCATTGAAAAGCAAATGCAACGTAAACTAGAGTATGCTTCATGTCTCTTAAATAATTGACAAAGTTAACAACGGTAAAGCAGTTCTTTTATAGAAAGCATGGCTATACAAGATTCAAGAAACGAACATAATTGTCAATTTGAATAAAAGTCTTAGCACAAGAATGTCTCAACCAAATTTGTAAGATTTCCCTCAATTCAACTGCATCATAATCATCATGCACATAATTCCATAAAAGTATTTTGAAAAACCCAACTTGACTAGCACAGACTCCATTATCTCAGATACAGACACAACATGAGTTACATGACTATAAATGTGCAGTTTGTGGCTCTGTGCACGCACAACTTTGTTCCTCTGAGTCCAAAAGCATTCAAAGATGCTAATTTATGTTTGATTTCTGGAAATAACAATTTCCCAAAGAGTTCTTTGACACTCCCATGCACCAGTGATTGGCAATCCGTCAAATAATTATCCATATGTTCCTGGAGCTAGATGCCAGTCCCAGTGTGCAGTTGATCTTAGCTTGCCCCAAAGTCAATGTGTAGGTTCCATAACAAGCCACTAACAAGTGGCTGAGTATCTAGGTTTGGGGAAGAAGTTATCGGTTAATGGTGGCACAATCAAACCATGCATGCAGCAGTATCTATCACCTCACCTGACTTCAAATAATTAGGCACGTCAATGCACCCGACATGTTAATTCCATAATGAACCTCTAACCACCCAAATCTGGATCGCTGAAGTTGGAATATGAGTTTCAAGATCATGCACGTGAGCCATACAGTCAAAGATCAGAACTTTTATCATATCAACATTTCCATGGAGCAAATCCATGCCAATCTACCTTTTATGGCATTCAACTTATTGTCTACTTGCATTTTATATTTTCCTACTAAACCCGTGTACCCATCATTTCTTCCTAGCTAAAGGCAGACGCATCTACATATCTATATACTGAACACTATCTAAACAAATCTTAAACATTGAATTAGACTTTGCAAGTAAATACGCACAACAGTACAGTTGATACGCACAGATCAATCTTAGCTATTTAACCCCAAAAAAAAACCCTAAAAACCCGAAATAATGAGCTGAAAAATCCAATGCTTCATTCAGTCTCTGCAATTAAGCAATCAACTGAATTGATCCACATAACAGATGCGGACACAAATCAACTTTTTATCTTTCCCAGGCTTTCTCGGAAAGCAAACAGATGTCATATACCAAATTAATGTTCTTTAAAAACACAATAAGAACTGTAGAGAGACGGAAAAGAGTACCTGGTACACGTACGGCTGAAAAGGCGTCGAGAAAAACGGTGCAGCCATGGCGAAACCGCAGAGGAAGATGATCAGCTCTGAATGGACGAAGATCAAGCAGAATTGATGAAATCAAATCCTTCAATTTGGCAATTTAAACAACTGCTCACTACGGCATTTGATTTTGCTCACTGTTTTTTTATTTTACGAACCAAAAACCAATCCCATTTTTCTTCTGGTCTTTTATTTTTCTTTGTTTATTTATACCGCCTTTTTAGGGGTACAGTAATAAATAAATAAATTTCAGTGATGTATTTGTGCCAAATAAATACTAGTGCACAAATGTCAATAACTTGAAGTGACAGAATTAACCTTCTCTTGGAAGTTTTATTATGCCTTTAGGTGGAAGCACTCTATAGTTTTGACAGTGGCAATTTTGTCAGTCTGGGTTAGTGGAATGTGCACTCGTTGACTTATCTGACGTGGCGGAGTTTGATTGGATGGAATGACAAATCTCGACGTGTTCACATTTTGCCAGTCGTCCCAACTCTCAACGACACTGTGTGGCAAATTGCTCTTTTTTTCTTTATTTATTTATTTACAGAAATTGCTCTTTCAGTTGGGTTTCAATTCTCTCTTCTTTTCTTTCTTTTCAGAATTCTGAAATTCTTTTTTAGACTTTTTGTATTTCAACTTTTCATTCTTATGAGAACACCCCATTCTATAACTTCAATAAGAATTTGTGTTTACGACTAGGCTCTTGGGATGACCAATTAATTAATCTTAATTAATTAGTAGCTCCAATGGGGGCTCAATTGTAAAGTTTTTTTAAAATTTATTTTCTTAAGTAAAAATGATAGTATAAACTAGAGGAGAGGGGGATTTCTGACAGATGCACACAAATTATGCTATGGGGGTTCGAACTTGAAACCTCGTGTTTGCACCATTTTCTACTGGGCTAGACTCGTTGACAATTGTAAAGTTAATCTCCTGCCTATTGTAACTTCATATGATATATCCTTATGAGTTATGACAGGAAGGATGCATAATTGGATTGAATCTATATATATATAACGCAAAAGACAGAGAATGGTAAAACATTCAAAATATTAGAAAATGTCATTAGTTAATACAAACATTAAGAATCGAAATTATTAATTAAATAAAAATAATATGATAAATTCACACTTAAAAAAAATATAATAAATCCTATTTTTATAGAACACAACTACCTATTATAGAATTCTACTTGTGGAATTGACAATATTGTTATCAGATCATATATTAAATGGAAAGTGTCCTTGAAAAGAAAAGAAGAAAAAAAAAGGAAAGAAGGTAAATCTGATTTGATATCAAAATTTATACAAGAAATCTGATTAGACATTTGACCCAAAAGAAAGACAAAAAAATCTGGATCGCCGTAGCATATATTGACCGTTGTGAAGGAGTGCCATAATTATGAGTTTAAACTCAATCTTACAACTCTATAAATTAAAAGCTACCATAAACACCAATCACAGGTCCAAAGCTCTAAATAAGAGTTGTTGTCAAAGACTAATTGTACGGTCAAGATGGCGAAAATGCTACCACAACTCTACTTTCTTATCATCCTTATTCTACTTGGTTCAGGTATATATATTTGTAAATCTCCATGTATAGCAATTGGCCTAACTAACTCAAGTTTTTATTGACTATCATGTTGGTGGTTTTTAATCAGTCATGTTCACCAAAGCGATTATCAAACGAAGTAACTCATTTAATAAATACGAATGAAGTTTCGAGTAGACTCAAATTTTGTTATCTAAATAATGTGGCAGATACATACACTCCCTAATACAATGTCATGTTTGATAAATATGAATGTGATTCCGAGTAGACCCAAATTCAATGAGTAAAACACTATATCATCATGTTCACCTGAGTATGACATTCCTCTGTGTCATGGTAGTTTTGTACAATTCATTGTTTTTATTTTCTAGTTCAGAATATGAATTTTATTATTTTGTAATCGTTGATATGTTTTTTTTTCGTAGCTAATTATATGGGGGGTAACGGCAGTGGAGAATAGGTGCAGAAAGGTGTTGTATGATGTATCTCGCAGCAAACAAAGCCATGACAAAAATTGCAATACGAAATGTTTGGAGATTGATCCCCAAGCCGACTCTTATTGCGACATATTTGTTCCTGGACAAACAAAGCGTAAATATTTTTGTGTATGCATCTTGCCTTTCTAGATGATTTGCTACTTCTTGTGTGGCTATACATTGAATAAATAAATAAATAATAAATAACATATTGTTATAAAACTAAAGAGAAATTATGGAGAGAATATAGAGAAATCAAACTGTAACAGAAATCTGATGTTTTCATTCAGTCATTTTCTATCACTTTACTTTATAGGCAAAGGTTATTGCCTCCCGTGGATGTGTGGTTGGCTCTCAAGGAATGATGGCAGACAAGCTTCATCATGGTGTTCTTCATTATTTCCAAATGTGTGGGCTCCATTCAAGACTTTACAACACTCCCCCTTGGAGATCACCACATATGGAATATGTCTCGTTAAAAACTTTGTCAGTAAAAACTCAGTTGGACAAAAAACTGGTCGAAGGGAAAAAGAGTACATAACCATATGTAACATAAAATTATGTGTATATTGACACGCGTGCAACATTGCCTCATTAAAACCTTGCTAGGAAAAATCCAATGGGATAAAAACCTGGACAAAGGAAAAAGAGTACAGTGTGTGAAGGTCTTTATTGACAGCACGCTCCCCCTGATGCTTGACAAAATATCTTTAAGCCATACTGTTGATCATCTTTCTGAATATCATAGCTGGCACTGCTTATGTGGGTCAATTTTGTAATATTGTTGGATGCTCCCCCTAAAGAATATCTACCCCTGAAATCTTCATGACTAGCTTTTTCCAGTAAGCGACCATTGAAATTTCCAGAGTCCGCATATCCAATAACACTTGGGCTATTTGTAAGTTCACTAAAAAAGAATATGCCCGTTGTAGGGCACTTTTTCTTCTGGCAGCTAAGATGGGTCGGGCTGCCGTAAAGAGTAGACTGACGAAATTGTCCCATTTGCCTGAGTTCGAAAATTAAGCCCCAAAAATACTTCGAAAGGGCAGCAGATCCTCAGGAAGTATTATGGTTACCTCCATCAACCAAAATAATAATAGCTTACAGGTAGTTTCTTTGTGCTTACAGATAAACTCTTAAGCTCAGCGTGAATGACATGTGGCATGGAAAGCAAAATCAACATGAGTTTAGCACTAAGAGAAAATTTAGGCTTGCTATGAGAGAAAAGAAAGTGTTAGGGAGAGGAATGAGGAGTTTCGTGAGAGATTTGGCTAAAATGGAGAATAGAGTTCTTCCGGTAGCTTGACAGATGCTCTGTCTGCCATAAGAGAAGAATGGAGAAGAAGATGAAAAGTGCCCGAGACTTGTTGGTTTTTGTAAGTTAGAGAGAAAGCTTGCTCTCTGAAGCTGGGTTGGGTTGTTGAGTAGGAGAAGCCTCAATTTATAGCCGTTGGAAACCACCATTTTTCGAGAAACCCTAATGGCTTATACCCATTTTGGCCAAGCCTTTCCCTCCTTTTTCATCCCTTTCCTTGGCTTTTCCCATTTTGATGAAATCCTCTATGTTTATCAGATCAGAGTTTTTGAAGCTCAAGGCCCCTTTTTCCTGCAGCTGCCTTAATGGTAAACTTCCATTTCCAACCATCCTTTTTATTGCTTTCTTCCCTTTTTTCTGTGGCTAAGTTTGATGGGAAAAGGAGCTGGGATATGTATGCTGGTTTGAAGAGTGTTTCACACTAATACCCCTTGGTTTCTTGCATGTTTTAACTTTGAAACTTGCTCCCTCTTTGTGCTGGAACCTCCCAGCAGCTCTATTCGATAAATTTGCTGACCCTTTTCACGTGGCTTCCATTTTTTCAGCAAAGGGCTGAGGCTTTTATGGATTATCTTGGAATTTTGTATGGGCCAAGGGGGTCCTTTAAGCAAGTGGGCTATTTTTTTGTTAAACATTGGGCTTTTAGGTTGCTTTAAAGGGAAAACGCACCCCTCTATTTATTCTCACAAGAAGAAAAGCTAGTGAAATAGGCCCTTCTTTATGCCAGTGAGGGAAAGAAAAGAGGCCTACTGTGAGAGGAGAGATTGATTCAGCTGCTAACAAGCGCAGATTTTTCATTAAATGAATGGCTATTCGGGAAACGTATGTTGATGAGAAGGTCATACATAATCAAAAAAGTAAACGCGGGGCAGATTCAATTCGAGCTCCGTTCAAAGATGAATAAAGGTCCTTCTCGCCCACATGCTCCTTCCTATGAGCAACTCGATTAGCTTAGTGAACGAAGCACTAATCACCCTCATGCAGGAAGATAAACATTGAAAGGACTAAAAGGGTAGTGACAAAATGTAGATGTTGATTTTTGAGGTCACGTACTTTAGTTATAATGCCTTCTACATGCTGGAAGCTCATACTTTTCTTTACAGAAGGTACAACAAAAGAATTTTTCTACAAGTCAACAAAATGTGGAGCATGTCAAAGGTTATCCTTCAATTCGGGGATAATCGAGAGGTCATGATAACAGTTGACGAGTGAGGCGAGGGGCTTATTCCTCTCAATTGATAAGGGCTTGAGTCCCCTCCGACCAATACAATGCGCTAGTCGCATCTTCTACAATGCTAGCATCTTCTATAAAGAAAGTTGTCTTGGGGGACTCTGTCTCATCTTTAGGGACTACATTCATCGTAATTAAGCAATCATTTCTTGCATTATCACTTTTTTTAGTATAATAATTGTTGAACGTACGACTTGCAGTACCACTTATGTTATTGCTAGCGGTACAGACTACTCGTCCTGTTGTTAATATCGCTTTTCTTCTCTCTTTTGGGAGAATGGGGGTTTCAGGCCTAGCTTGACGCGGCAGTAGAGACTGTTTTTCTTTTTGTTGTGGGCTGGGATTGCTGGCATGCTTTTAACTGAGTTCTTTCCCACCATTTTCTTCTCAAAGTCAGACTACTAATGAGCTCCACACCAGGGCTCAAACCATGCCTCAAGTAAACAATAGCCCCCTTAACCCAAATGTATTTCAAGAGATCCGAGAAACATGGTTCAACTAATGGTGCACTATCCTTCTCCCAAATATTTCTCAGCAAAACCAATGAGTACAACCAAGGACGGATCCAGAAATTTTCTCTCCGAGGGTCAACATATATAAACTCACAATTTTTTACATATAGAAGACCCGTAGAAATGAATGAAAATGCAATAAAAGTACATACATGTAGTTTTAGTGTGTGTATATATATATGCATGTTTATTAGATTTTTTTTTAGAGAACATGTTAATTTATTAGAATTGTTTTTATGAGCAACATGTTTATTAGATTGTTATATGCATATTTCAGAAATTAGAAAACTTAAAAAGAAAATTATTTTTATTTGTGTGCAGTTAAATACTACTCTAGTTTGGTTTCAATGATAGGGAGATATACTCGAACATTAAAAAAAAGACAGGAAGATAAACTCCAACCAAAAAATAATACAGAGATATACTCCAAATAACCAAAATTAAGAAGTTAATGTGATTACTGAAAATTTAGATGCTATTTAAATTAAATAAAGAAAAGTTTAATTAGGTGGGGTTGTTATTATCGGGCTGGGGAAGAGCTCTGTTTTGGGTTTTTGTTTTCTCAAACCTGTCCAAAAGGCCATGATAATAAAATAAAACAAAATAAAGTTAAGTGACCTGGTCCTAGACGATGTCGTTTAGGCCAGGTCAAAAAACAAAAACAAATAAGATGACGCAAGGCAGCATGCGAGAGCAAGGCAGGTGCTGCCATGCCTTCTTCATTTAGACATTTCATCGAGCAGTTGCTGGGCACTCTTGCCCAGCCATCAAACACGACCAGGGGTCAATCCTTTTGCTTTCCATGGCGTTTTTTGGGTTTCCAGGGGTCAATTGACCACCTTTGCTCCAACGTGGGTCCGTCCCTGAGTACAACATTTTAAACTAAAACTGCAAACAAGATCTTAGAGCTGTCTCAATCATCCACAGCTTAGGGATTAATGTGATGTTTTTTTATGCTAGAGTCATGAATTGCCTCTTTGCACTTTTTTTAAACTTTTTTTTTTCCCGTGTTCCTCTTTTTAGTAGAAAACGAAATGAGAATCATAGTAATAGTTCCACGTCCCCTCTCACGCCTCGTAGAGAACCATGTATTCTATTCTCACACTTCTCGATTTTTTGTATGACATTTCAAATTTTTTTTTCATAATTTTTTAAAGTTACCCATATGTAACTGGTACATCTGTGTTAGTGATATTTATATTGATAGTGCTTTATTGTTTGTGAGCTCAGTCTTTGGCTCATATGCCTCACCACATGTATCAAAAATGTGTATGTCCTAGGATACTCTGGAAATTTCATGCTTCCTCTAGGTTGCATAGGCAGTGTAATCCAGTAGCCTACTCAGGTATTCATAACTAGAAATTTTAAGTTTTTGATAATTTGGCCACTGTTTTTCCTGCTGGAGATATTTTGTGCTTCAAAGAGGAAGGGGCATGGAGAATGTAGGGAGATTTAACTATCTAAATGAAAGTGGGGATTTGGCAAAGAAGGGAGAAAGTGTGTTGGATTTGTTCTATGGAAGTGGGGATTTGGAGAGATAAGCTAGCGGCCTAGAACTAGAACCTCTCTATTTTAGTTACTGTTCAATTAATTAGCAATTAATTAGTAATATGGCCTGCCTTGAAAAGAAGTATATTCTCATTTCCCGTTCTTGTATATATGTCTCTCTCACAATTTGGTTTAATTTTATTTTAATTAGCATGCAATTGCTTTATAAAGTATACATCTTTGTGCAATGCCAGACTTGGGGCCATTGACATCATCACCTTCATTATTATCCTCCACATCCAGTACTGCTAACTATGTATAGAATAAATACTGAAGGCTGATAGATCTGTAAACACCTTTTCCAATCCTTTTGCTGAGTTTGGGGTTTAAGCTTAAAGTTATGAGAATTTTGTTTTCTGATCTTGTTTTGATTTTCTTATCCTAATTAGATTAGATCTTGCTGTTAGCTAAAGTTGCAAGCTCTGAGTTTGGTATCATCTTTTGACCATAGAGTTTTAGTTGGCTAAGTAAGGACAAAGGACATTACAAATTCCATATTGAAATTTTAAATTTCGATAATTAGAGCTAGTTGCGATTGTATTGTGATTTGTACTTCTGCTAATGTTTTTTGGCCTCTGGGATTACAGGGAAGAATATGGATTACAAGAGCGGCAAGGACACAATCTTCAGTTTGGAAAGTTAGTGATAATCAGCCAGGTTGACTTCTTTCTTTCCAATCTAGTTTTTGGCAGCAACCATCGATTTAAGAGCTAGCTATAGCTTTCTCTTTGTCAAAGTGATTTTTGATGTTCATCTTTTAATCTTCCTTTTATTTATCAGAGAAAGCTCTTTCTTTATTCATTGATCTTGTTTAGTGCAGTTGTTCCACTACCCAAGTAATTATTCTAGGCTTTGTTTGTTATACGTTTTTAATTTTTTTCTTCAGTTTCTCTCTAAACTTATATGGTTTAATTTGTTTTTTCGTTTTGGATGGGCATCTGCAGTGCCCTGGCGCAGACATTGAAGGTCCAGCAGAAGTTCGCATTGAATGGGCAACATTTGTGAGCAACCACATGTGGTTCCTCTATTTATAAGTATAGGTTAATACTATGGATATGGTATTTTGTATGGATATAGTAGGAATCAAGATTGGTAAACTATGTAATTACTATTGAATATTCAAGTTTTATGAAAGAAATAATTTTTGAGTATATATATGTATGGTGTGGGTTATAGCAGATTTGGACTTGAATTTATTGCTCAAAAAGCATTGTGGTTGTTTTTCTAGTTAAAACCGTTCTACAGAACCATTTGGAAAAGAAAAAAAAACTAAAATGTAAAATCACTACGTCAGTTTTACAGATAATACATGATAGTTTTTTGTGAAAAAACCGTCATCTTTATAATTAATAGACTACAGTTGTTTATCACACCGTTGTCTTTAGAAATAATAGACGACGGTTCTTTTCAAACAACAGACGTCTTTAGACATAATAGACGACGGTTCTTTCAAACAACCGAAGTCTTTACCCATAACTGATGACGGTTTTTAACAAAAACTGTCGTCTTTACATCTGAACAACGACGGTTTTACTAAAACCCGTCGTCTTTACAGATAAATAACGACGGTGGAAAGCCATCGTAGTTTGATACTCCAAAATATGGCGGTCGATTTAACGACAGTTTTCAAAGCACCACAACGACGGTGAATCCCCGTCGTCTATTTCGTTTTTTGTAGTAGTGACGATCAAGGCAGGGATTTCTAGTAGTCATCCATCGCGACAATGGATCTACCAGATTTCCAAGCTAGAAGAAATTAACAAAAATTCAAACTTGGAAAGATAGATCTCGCTAAAAAAAAAAAGTAGAACTCCCACTATTATCCTTATGGAAACCGCTTGCCACGGGGATCGGCCAATTGCCTTTTTCAAAGACAACAAAGCCACCCTTCCTAGATCACGTTATTAGATTAGCATATGCCGCAGGACAAAGTAGTCGTACAAGGACACTTGGCTTATCAGAGGCAATGGCCTTCGCCTACGTCAAAGACAACCGATTTGCCCTACTAACATGTCTTCTTCTGTGATTAGGTGTCTGATGGTACCTTCTGCCAGGGCCCCTATTGAGTTTGAACTCTCATGACACATTGACATTATTGCCTTTTGCAATTACTAAATAAGTATATAAAAAAAACTTCCCACAAATGTATATAAAAAAAACTTCCCACAAATTTGGCATTGCATGAAGTTCAATTCATTCCCAAAAATATGCTATCTTGTGTCTCAAGCAAATCAAAGACAATTTCTATAAGAATTATCCCATAAAATCATGATAATATCTCCAACGATTTACTAGATTTTTTCCTCCATTTGACATACATAACAAGATATCTTGAAATTTCTAGATTACATATTTTGACCAGAAATAGGCAAAATGCAAATTATGGCAAATGCCTATTATTCTTGAAATTTCTACATGCTTATTTTTGGCCATGAATGATGGGCTACTAATGATATCGGCAAATACTGCTATAAGATCATATAGTAAATGGAAATAAGTAAATCTGATTTGTTACATTGTTTTTTTCATACAAGAAATCTAATTATACATTTGGCGCATAAGAAAAAAAAATCTGGTTAGACATGATCTTAGCATTTTGAAAATGAATTACCATGATTTGTTATGTAAATATTGATCCTTGCAAGTAATTATGTGATTAATTCATATTTCAACTCTATAAATTCATTTCAACCTCACCACCATAACAACAACCACGAGTCCAAAGCTATCTCTGTCAGGGTTTTATTTTCTTCGGTTTTTGCCAAAGTACTAGTTGTAAGGTGAAGATGGCGAAGGTGCTGCCGCAACTCAACTTTTTGATCACCCTTGTTCTTCTTGGTTCAGGTATATATATATATATATACTTTCAACGCCTCATTGTAAATCTCTACGTATATCAACTGGCATAACTAACTCAAGATTTTGTTTTTTCGTCAGCTATGTTCACGAAAGCGATTGTCAAAGAAAATAACTCAAACTGTAAGCATGAAATTTCGAGTGGACCCAAATTTTAGTCTCTATATAATGTGGCAGATGCACGCATGATAATGTCCTGTTTGATAAATATGAATGTGGATGCGGGGAATAGCTAAGTTGGTTGAACTTTTTCACCTCTATTTATGTGGGCAAAGATTTAAAACCCCGAGGCACCCAATTCATTTGTATAAACACCTCTCCCCAATTGCTTTTACTAAAAATTTAAAAAAAAAATGTCAAAAATGTCATTGTAATTTTGAAAATTTGATTGTTTTGTTTTTGAAGGGGTGACGTCGGCTGATCCCAGTTGCAGAAAGATTATATATGGTTCGTATTGCCCCGAGCCAAGAGGGCCACCCCGGCCAGGAAAGGAAGATGAATGCAGTTTAAGATGTTCGCAGGCTGAGCCCGACAGTGTGTCAATTTGCGAGGGAAGACCGCCCACTCCAAATGAAATATATTTTTGTGTATGCCTGTTGCCTTGCTAGACCTGTAGCAAATAATAATAATAATAATAAATAAAACCCTTACCAATTGGATAAATTAAGAGGACATTAATATCCTCTCTTTTTTCTTAATATCCTTTCTTTTTCCTTTCTTTTTTTCGCATGAAATAAGCAATGCCTATTATTCCTCTCTCTCTCTCTCTCTCTCTCTCTCTCTCTCTCTCTCTTGACTAAATTTGATTCATATTATACTTGATTGATTGAAGGATATTTTTTTTATTGGATTTTTGGAGATTTTTTTAATTTTTCAACCTCGGATACATCCAAAGACAACAATAAATTATTCTTTTTATTAATTATTTTATATGAATTAATTAGGCTCACGTTTAGTTGGAAAAAAATACATGATGTTGTGGGCGTATTGCGAAGAGCACCTCCACTTGATATGTCATCTTGAGACAACACAACCTTCATGCCAGAAAGCTTAACGTTAGATTGTCCCCCTTTCTTAAAATTTACTTTTAAAATTTCCTTGTTCTACTTCCTATAATACCCTTTTGTAAATTATTCTGTTTGTTTCAATTTTCAATATTTTTAGGATCTCAATTTATGAAGATATTGTCTCTTTTGAAATTCAAGTGACAGTTGCATTTACCTTTTCAATTTCTTGGCGACAACCAAAATTGAAGGAACACATCGTTGACTATATATTTTCAAACAAGAATGTACTACCTCTCTAATTATATGCCCAATAAGAATGTACAATTTATATAGAAAGAAACCGATCAAAGAAAATGTATAATGGTAATCTTTTGAAGTCAAACGATTAAATTAAAGTTTTTTTAAAAAAATTATTTTTTATTGTGAATGAAATTTCATCAACCTTATAAATCAAACAATAATACCGACATGAAAATATGTAGCACTTCACTTGTCCATCACCAAACACCAGAACAAGTTCCTCTCCCAACTCGGGACACCTTCCATGCCATGCTCCCTACAAGTTTTGAGTTAAACTTAAATGCACTCTACCTTCTAGCAAAGCTAGCCTTTCATATACTTATTCTTTTGGTGACTATTTTAAGCACACATTTTCAAGGATTTCATACAATTATATCATCAAATGACATTGACCCAACAAAAAAGCAGAAAAACTTGTATAAAATGAGGATAATACTGTTTTTCTATGTTCGGCTAATCACATATTGTCACGTGAAAAAGTTATCACGCGTAACATGTCATGATTAGCCATAAATAACGAAATAGTGCTATCTCCATTTCACGTAAGTGTTTCTATAAAAAAAATATATATGATGCATGAATATGATTTTTATATATTTATTTTGGTCTAAAGACTTTTTATTTAATTAATTCTTAACTTGGTTGACACACAATTGAAATTGACAGCTTAAAGCCAAAAAGTTTGGCAAAGCTAAACTGTCGCTAACTAGCCCCTCCTCTTATTAATTGTTTTATTTATTTATTTAGTAGTCGTTTGAGCAGTTGAACTTGACGGATTGACTAGTCAAAATATTCAAAAGGTCTATTTTTATTACCAAAAGTCGAGAACCGTTACCGTCTGTCTCGCTAGCTCTTTCTCTGTGTTTCCCTCCCTAACCTTTCTCTCTCTTCTGTGTCTTAGATCCATCAGCTTCTTCGAATTCGATTCGTTCCCATTTTAGCTCAGCTGACTCTGCTCTAGCTCACTGGATCAAGGTATGATTCCTACCCACATACATAACATTATATGTTGTTTTACTTTTCGGTCTTGTGTTAATCTAATGCTTTTCTAATTCTGGAACTCGAATTTCCTTTAATACCCAGAAGAAAAAAAGATAAATTTTTTCAGTCAGGGACCCCTTTTTAATACAACTAGCCAAAAACAACTAAAATGATCGAAAAAAGTAGTATTTTTTATTTGAATTAGATGAAGAACAGTATTGCTCTTCTTTTTTTCTTTTTTTTTCTGTTCTTAAACTGTGCAGAATTGAATTTACCATATTGGGTTTTCTCCAGACTATTCGATTTTGATACTTAGCAAGATTTTCAACATGATGTAATCTGATTGTTGTGAATTCAAGTTGTTTTTTATTGGAATTTGATGAAAAATTCTAAGTAGTTTCAGTCTGACAATGCATGCTATGGTTTTGCAAAAGCATGAGCTAGGAACTTGTAACATAAACTTCGAAGAATAATTTTTTTAGTTTCTCTCCGCTTTATAATCTAAGTAAAAGTTAGTTTCATTATCACTTGGTTTCCCATAATTTTGTCTTTGATCACTGCAAAAACATGATGATAGTCATTTGACTAGTTCTGTAATCTCTCTCTCTCATTTTTTGATTAGGAAGCTGATTTACCAAATTTTGTGGAGTTTACACCTTTCAGAGAGAGGGATAAGGCTTGGACATTATCAAACACGTAGGTAGTTTGAAAATTTGGGCAGACCTTGTTACGAAAGCTGAAATTTCTGGACCTGGACTCTCATTTAGGAGAATTGTAGATTAATAAGCTCATGGTTGCTGTGGATTCACTTTTTTATATGTTGGCGAGGTGGAAATCTTGTAGTATGATGAGATGAAAACTTTATGTGAGAGCCTTGCTGTGATCCTAATGAAAGAATTTATCCGGCTCTTTGGCGGGTATAAAATTGACTGGAAAAAGATATTTTTTGCCGGGGCCATCATGACAGCATCCTGTGTCATGTTGCAAATGTTTATACTTAATGATCCTCTGGATGTGTGGTTCCTCTCTCTGCCTGTCGCAATTCCATCAGATAAACCCTTGAACAGTAGCCTCAGCTTGAATAAGACCTCTACTGAGGCAAGGGTCAAAAGATTGCAAATAATTTCTGGTGCCCCCATTGTTTCACCAAATCCTCCTATTGATTTGAATCTCTCAGTGCCAATTATGCCAGTTGCAGCCTTAGTTCCTCCTAGGGGAAAATCTAGAAGGAGAAGAAAAGATTCGAAAGTTGATAACATGTCAAAGGTCGTCCCTCCTCCTCCCCCTCCACGTAGAACTGTGCCTTCTCGTATGCAGGTAGTCTTGTTTCTTTTTTCATAGAGTTTATGATAAAGAAAGATGTTACCAATGATCTTAACACTGTGGCATACGTATTTAGAAATTCATTTGGTCCTTGACACCAAAAGAGGCACTTGTGTATGCAAAGAAAGAGGTTGAGCATGCCCCAGCAGTTATGGAGGATGATCCTGATCTATATGCCCCTATATTTCGAAACGTTTCTGTTTTCAAAAGGTAATCTCACAATGCCATCACCATTTTTCCTTCGTCATCCTAGTCAATCGTTCATATGCGCGCCAGTGTGTGTGTGATACATATTTTGAATACAAACTTCTAGGAATTGTGGATGTTCATTTAGTCCTTCATGTGAAAAAAAAAGTATATTTGCTCATAGGCCACCTACTAGGTATATGCAGTGCTTACATGCAAGATTTGAGATACAAATGGTAAGAGTGGTTGGGCATAGGACTGGTTAAAGGAAATCTTATCTGCATTGTGCAGTCTGGCTAAGTTAGTATCAGTGATATTGAGTTCAAGGATGTCTTTGGGCTCAAATTTAACTTGTCCTAATTTTTGTCTATTAGGTTACATATGTTACATATCCTTTTGTGAATGTAATGAAATATTTTAGAGACATTTAAAGATGGATTTTAGTGTTAAAGTTTCTCAGAAATATTTAAGACCCTTAGTTCTCATGTTCAGTTCTTCAGTTGTTCTGAATTTCTTATTCACCACATGAATCTCTAAGTTTCTCAGTACTATGAACCTCATTCATTTCATGTTCTTGGTCGCAAAATTTTATTAGTCACTCATATTTAGGCTTGTCTCTGACGGTATGAAACCCTTACCCATTTTCTTCCTCTCTATAATAGCTCTATGTATCATATCATGGTGCAAAAGCCCTGAAGATCCTGAGACATTTAAATCTTCTGATTATAAGGTATCAGAAATTTTAAAATACTGTGACTTTTGATAAAGTCCCATTGTATCTCCACTCAGAAGCATTTTTTCTTTTCTAAATCTTGGTTGGGTTCATTTTTAAATTTACTCATCCTTCCCTTTATCTGAGATTTATACGAGTCTAAAGAATCTATTAGATGAGCCATACATATTCTTGTTGAGTTACAATAGAGCACTAGGATGATAAAGCATGCAGGAATTGGTTTTTTCTTTTTCAGAAACTTGGACTTATTATTTGGGTACCAAAGATTTTACCTAACTAATGTTGCCAAAGATTTGGACTTATTATTAGAAACACATTCCTTTCAGTATATAACAATATTTGTGATCACAAGCTATCTTGGTTGTATTGCTCTAGCCAGGTTCAATTCCTTTTTCTTGTACAAATATGATGTATATACAAAAGTTGCAATAATTGATGAACACTGTGTCCTCTTGTTTGTGAAATTGATGGTGAAGCAAGAGCAACTCAGTCACGTGAATTTTAGATGGCTATGGAATGGAATTCATTAGTTAAAACATGTAGCCATGGCATGCTTTCTCTTTTCCTTCAGAAACTTATACATTGTTTTAACAAGCATATTTTGAGCAGTTATGAAATTATATATTACAGTAAAATTTATAACTTCGTCGAGCATCGATGTTATTAACACTGTTTCTCTCTTTCAGACACAAGAATACTCGTTAAAACTGACAGTACAATATAAACATGGGAAAATACTTATTGTTAGTGTTATTTATTTTTCTTTTTCAAAATCATACCTCTTTGTGTGTATGTTCACTTGTATTTCTAGATATCTAACAATAGTTGCTAGAATGTCTGGCAATATACTCAATCATTGATTTCACCAGGCTTCCTGTTCTTATGATAATGATCCATCAGAATCATTTTTTACTGAACCGTTTAAAGCCATAATTTTGCCTTCATTTCAGGAGCTATGAACTGATGGAACTGATACTTAAAGTTTACATATATCGTGATGGAGCAAGGCCCATTTTTCACCAACCTCATCTCAGAGGAATTTATGCTTCTGAAGGATGGTTCATGAAGTTGATGGAGGAAAACAGGCAGTTTGTCACAAGGGATCCAGAAAAGGCCCACTTATTTTATCTTCCTTACAGTATGCGCCAATTGGGGATGGCACTTTATGTACCGAATTCACATAATATGAAACCACTCTCAATTTTCCTGAGAGACTACACAAACACGATTGCTGCGAAGTATCCTTTCTGGAATCGGACACATGGGTCAGATCATTTCCTTGTTGCTTGCCATGACTGGGTACAGTAATCTGTTCTTCCTTTCCACAGCATGCTTCTTTCCAATTTGATTGTGCTAATGTAATTAATTGTTTAAGAATTGAAGACATTCATTTTTATTCTGTAAGTTGCACATTGAATTAATCTCATCACAAAAGCATAGTAGTAGACTACACAGCACAGTTGAACTTCAATTTTTCACAAGTCTAAATTCTGTAATGTTTTAACATAGCTTAATGTTTTCTCATTGCATGGAAATAATCATTACTGGCATCAAATTATATGGTTTTGTTACCTAGTTGACTTTTCTGATTTTCCAAACTACGCTTCACCTTTGTGTTGTAAAATATTTCCATTTTACAAATAGTAAAATTGCTATATAATTATACTGTAACAGCCATTATGATGTATGTCCTCCTTTTACATTTGACAATGCACCTATATCATAGCAGTATAATATTCGAGTACTGTCTGGAAAGAGTAATAGTCTGTTGTACTATTCTCTATGTTTTTTTCACTTCTAAGATTTCTATGGTGATCAAATTTGAATTGTCTAGGAAGTATAAGAAAGAATTCCAAATTCCTTGGCAGTTTTTATTGTATATGTTTTTTTTTTGGTCGAATTTATTGTATATGTTTTCTCTTCATAGTTTGATTGGAAATGCTTCTAGTCAGCATAATAGCTGAAAAGGTGTGTGCATATCTGTAGGTATGAGAAAGATGCTTCCTGGTTTGCAATTTGAAAATTATTTTTTAAAGTAAATATCTATTCAATTAATATCTGATATTTAAGCATCCATTATTATGAAGACCAATCAGTGTACACAAGTTGATGCCATGGTAATATTTTAAACTTAATTTCCTCCATTCTGTTGACCTTTTGCAGGGCCCTTACACGTTAACCGCCCATGAGGAACTAACCAAAAATACTATAAAAGCTCTATGCAATGCTGACACCTCGGAAGGAATATTTGTTGCCAAGAAGGATGTTTCACTTCCAGAAACTACTATTAGGACCCCCAGGAAGCCTCTTAGAAATGTTGGTGGATTTAGAGTATCACAGCGCCCGCTCCTTGCCTTTTTTGCAGGAAACATGCATGGAAGAGTCCGCCCGACACTTCTCAAGCACTGGCGGGACAAACATGAAGACATGAAAATCTACGGGCCTCTGCCCCTTAGAGTCTCGCGAAAGATGTCTTATATCCAACATATGAAATCAAGTAAATTTTGTATTTGCCCAATGGGGTATGAAGTGAACAGCCCAAGGATCATCGAGTCCATCTACTATGAATGTGTCCCAGTGATTATTGCCGATAATTTCCCCCTTCCTTTGAGTGATGTGCTAGATTGGAGCAAATTTTCTGTTGCCGTGGCAGAGAAGGATATTCCCAAGTTAAGAGAGATTTTAGTGGCTATTCCCATGAGAAGATACCTTACTATGCAAATTAATGTGAAAATGGTGCAGAAGCATTTCCTTTGGAATCCCAGACCAATCAGATATGATTTATTCCATATGATTCTGCATTCAATCTGGTCTAGCAGGTTGAACCAGATCCAAATCCCAGAATCCTAGTGTGTGTTTAGCATGTCCTTAATGGATATTGATTTTCTATAATAGGCTGAGTTTGAACAAGGAGCTGATTAGAGTCGAGACTAGTGGCTAAGATGCAAGTCCATTAAGGTACTTGGCTGTTGACTTTATGAAGGACTTCAAACAGCATTTGGTGACTCCAGCCTGGTTTCATGGTAAAGTGTTCCAAGTTCTTTGAACTGAAACATGGATGGACTTTTTCTGGGAAGACTGGGGGTGGATGCCAAAATGAGAAGTGGGGATGCAGGTATGCTCAATAATATGCATCTCTAATAGTGCAAATGATGTTTTACTGTTTTTGTTGTGACTGCTAGCTCCAATGCTGGTTTCATATTGTCACTTTGTGTAATGGGGTTGCTTCTTTTTGGTCCAGATCAAAGCCACCATAACTTCTTTTCATTTTTTTGGGCAAAAGCCACAGCATAACTTCTCCAAACTCTTTTCAGGACTTCATTTGATGTTAAATATGTGAAATGACTGTTACCAAAATTTTACTCAGACAGTTAACCATTTGTCAAATGTACTTGTTCATCCATTGCAGGAAAGATGACAAGGCGAAGGAGTCTCCATAGCTCTGTGTGACATTTCATTGGACCCAGATAAAGCTCAAGTAGATGGTACATTACAAAATAAAATCATTGCCCCTATACAAACAATCCTATATGATTTCATTATACAAGTCAAATTTTCCATTTTAATGAATATAGTTCATAGTTGTTGATGCTGACATGTAAATCATTTTGGAACAAACATTTTGTATACATACAACCGGTTATCATATACATACATACAAGATAGTTGGATTTTGTATAATTGTATATGGACTGTCTGCATTTAGAGGTTGATCTTCCATTGTCGAAGAGAAAAACTTACCTATCACATACAACTGATTACACCTAAGATTTTCTCCTCGCTAGCTGTATGTATAGAATGTGTGGTCAATAGTAACGGCGTTGGCTGATGCTGACGTGCAACTCCTTTGGGAACCAACGTGCACTGATCCTTAATTGCAAACCAAACTATTTACACTCTATATGAAGAAGGAAGTTTCCAAATTATCCGAGGATACTTATTAGCTAAAATTCCATTTTGCTTCTGTGATGGCTAAGGTCAACAAATCAATGTCAATAATGGCGAAATGTACCTCTAGAAAAGTTCTAACCAAATTGGCTAGAAGCATGCACCAACTTTTGTTTTTTTGTGTGTACCTATTTTGAAATTTTTTAGAAGCTGTCTCTGGTATGGTTAAGACTGGTTCAAGCCTTCTACACATTTGATCACAGTGCACATTGACTGTTCAAAATGCAGAATCTTAATTACATTGAAAGAGTGTCATTATAATTTTTTGAGTACTAGTGATAGTCTAAATTAGAGGGGAGGGGGTTTTTCACACACATGCATATAACTCAGATGTCATGGGGGTTCGAACTTAAGACCTCTAATATGCAAATCAAGATCATTTTTCACTGGATTAGACCACGTTGGCATGCCATTGTAATTTTAAAAAATTTAGATGCAGCTGAGTGAAACTGGATTACATTCTGACTTTTTGTTTTTGACGTGTATTCTTCACTTTTGTCAAACCAAATCTTTTTCAATTTTCTATTCTTATATATTTTTGTTCAATAGAAACGAATTACAAACTAGCATGTGTTATTTTGTTCCCCTTATTTTGTTCATATGAGTGATTATTAAATTATTAATATGTAACAAGCTAGGGTTGCCAAAATTTAGAACTTCGTAACAAAGTAAATTATCACAGAGCAAAAAAAACTTGAATTAATTCTCTAAGGTGCCTCTTGCATCAACAATTCCTGGCTCCGCCACTCCTTATCTTGTCTCATTTTCCCCGTGAACCTCTAACCCTCTTCATAACGGCCATTTTTCGTCTCAAGCTTAGAAGCAAGAATCCACCAGACCAGACCAGAGTTCTTAAAATTAAAATCTAATCCAGAGATGCTCTGTTTAGCTTGAACAAGCATGATGTCTGCTGGGTTTTCATGGATAGAACGTGAACAGTGTTGGGTTGGGTACTGTTTTAATACAAGTAGACACCTGTTTGAAGTTTTTATTTATTTATACAAGTTGACTCTTTACATTTATGTTGGCTCAGGCTATCAAGACATTGGAAGGAAGGTCCTCATCTATAAATATTTAATTGACAATTGATTGTGTTCTGAAAAAACACTATTAACAGTTAATTGAGGCACTCTTGAGGTCAAACAAATGGAACGAAATGGATCCAATGATGAAGTCCACACTATTCCACCGCTCATTGCAATGGTTAAATGATATCGGATTCAAGTACTTTTTGTAGAGATGATATTTGAATGAATATCTACAAAGTAGACGGTTTGGATTAGTGAAATACAATGCGCAGTGGGCCCTATAAGGGTATCCCTCAAATAAGTTTATTTGAAGAATCCCTCAACGGAAGCCCTATGCATCTTCTCTGAAAAAATTTGGTCTTTTTTAAATTTAAAGGTTAAACAACATTTGGGGTTTAAGGTTTAGATTCAGAATATGATCAGGAAAAAAGGGTTTACATTTAGATTCAATGTTCAAAATGAGGTAGCTTATTTTTTTCATTTAGCTCTCTTTTTAATATAAACTCAAGTCATATTTCGAACATTTTTACGTAACGAAAAGATTCTCGATGAGATATTGTCAATTAGTTTTGAATTGAATGCTCCAATTCTACAGATATGAAGTTGAAGTAAGTGATATTCTCTTCGTTTGTCAAATAATATAATACTAAATATATTTATATAGTACTTCTGGCTTGTTTGCATTGGCCACAATACCACAGAACAGGGGCATTGGGTGCTCCGTGCGTTCACAAATATTTATTAATTATCTCCTATAAAATATAAATATAAATGACTTGACAAATATATTTAAGAGACTGGGCAATTTTTATTTAAATTGTACAGAAGATTCACACTTTGATCATACACCAATTTTTATTTTTCTTTCTTTCTTACATTTCTCAATTATGAGAGAAAAACTAGAGCCTACACATAATACTAACTACATAATATTGCTGACCTTTTCACTGTAATTCATGGTGTCTTCATCAAGCTCAAGAAACTTGTTCACCCATTCCAGCCCATAGGAGCCTTCAGCAGAGAAGTCAAAGAACTCATTTACATCGAAATTAACATCCGAATTGTTCACACTTTCTTTTCCTCCTCCTTCTTCTTCATCCCCCTCAGTACCGCTGTCTTTCTGGGAAGGTGTAGCAGTCTCTTGAGCTCTTGAATTCTGCAGTGTTTTCTCCTTATGATTGATTTTTTTGCTCAAATGAGAATTCCAATAGTTCTTAATTTCGTTGTCTGTTCGCCCAGGAAGCCTTCCGGCAATCAAAGACCACCTACACAACACAACATGTATGTCGTATGTTAGATTCTAAATGTTCTCTTATCAGACGGTCTGATAATTTAGATTGGTGTTTAATTTTATTTGAATGTGGGGTCCAAATTGATGTGACACGAAAAATGTGGATGATGACTAACCTGTTTCCTAGTAGCTTGTGAAGCCTAAGTATCAAGTCCTCTTCATCATCAGAAATGTTGCCTCTCTTAATGTTGGGTCTCAAATAATTCAACCATCTCAATCTGCAACTCTTCCCACATCGATTCAAACCTGCAGCAGCAATACAAAAATGAATTATTTGAACAAATGAAGCCAGGTTTAGTTAAAATCAAGAAGAAATTAATGTGGTTTGTGTATTGGCTTCAATTAACCCTTTTGTTTTTCACTATGTAAGCTCAAAACTAACCTGCTATGGAAGCCACTGTCTTCCATCTCTTTGCACCATGAATCTCAATGTATTCTGCAAGTTTTCTATCTTCCTCTGCTGTCCATGCGCCTTTGTTCATAATTCTTTTTGTCGATCCTTCATTCTTCTTTGGAGCCATGTCGTGTAGCAGAGGAACAAAGAAAGAAAGAAAGATATAGAGAGACTCAGAGAGATGGCGGGTTTTATTTGCTCTTGGATGAGATATTAGTGAGAAAGACTTGACTGTCGGTTGATGCTACAATGAGAGGGAAGGGTTTATATCCTGCTCGGTTGGTATTGTTTTCTGAGAAGAAATTGAAGAGTCAGCCAGTCCATCAATCTAGCTACCCTTCAGAGAGAGAGAGAGAAAGAGAGAGAGAGAGAGAGAGCTCTTCAAATCCCAACTACCAGTTAAGACTTAGAGCAGATTATGTTAGACTGGGAAGTAGAATATATAAATCTTATTATATATATATATATATTTGTGTAACTCAAGTTGGTCTTTATTTCTTGCCTGTACAATTGTCTGATATCATCATAAATATTGTTTTCTTATCCTTGAATATGGAAATGAAAAGATATTGACCTTAGAAACCAGTCCCTTCCAAACACACCCAATTATATGTTGTTTCATAAATTTACTGAAGAAAAAAAAATGTATATATATAGTTGAGACCATGAACAAGTTTTTTTGTTTTTATTTTATTTTATTTAAATGCAAGCAATATTAAAGAAGGGAGAAGCGAACCTAAAACCTCGGGTGCATGGCTGATTACTCTTAACCACTTGAGCTGCAAACCTTTACAATTATTTTTCTCTTTGTTAGCCAAACAAAACAAAATCTTTTTTTACTTTGGGTGTAAAACTTCAAATTTGGATCATATATATAGTCAAAACAAACTAAAACTCTGAACTTAGATATTATAGGCTCTTTGAAGATGAAGACATTGGAGGGGAGGGGAGGGGAGGGGAGAGAGGGAGGTGGGCACAAATGGTCCCCCTTCAGTCTCTTTGGTTCTCTGTACCACATTGAAGGATTAATTTATAAAAATAAAAAAAATACTGTGTCCCTGTGTAGTTAACCATAATCAATTCTTAAGTGATATAATATAATATTTGCTAGATAAACTAAATAAATGAGCACTGCTGGAAATTTCTACAGTTGAAATTAAGAAAGTACACCTAACCTTAAGATTTTTTTTCCTTCTTTAATATTTCCTCAAAGTTTGGGCTTACTTTCTCATGTGAATTTGTACCAAATTGTCAGAATATTTTTTTCATTTTCTACTAGATAAACTAAATTAAAGAAGAGAGCTCTTGTGGAAATTGATATCAGAAAGAACCAATCTTTTCCTTATTTTATTTCCACAAAGTTTGGGCTTATTTAAGCCGTAGGGTTTGGAGGAACCATCTTCCAATTGGAGAGGGAGAGAGCCAAAAGGGTAAGATTGCTTAGCTCAATGGACTAAAATTCCATGAGCCCCCATCCAATCTGAACTACTTAAAATTAGTATGGGGAAAGTGTCTATCTTCTTAATTAGCATGTATTTTCAACGGTTATTAATTTATGTAAATAAATGGCTAATAGGTAGAGCACAGTCACCTAGAGTAGTCTTTCTTTCTTTCTTCGTTGTGGTTGGTGACATTGAAATTTGAACATTGGATTCCAAGTTCTTCCTTGTTACATAAAGTCATCGGATTTGTGTGTTAAGCATGTAATGGAGTCAATTAAGCCAACAATTTGGGTGAAAGTGAAAGAAGAGGTGTCCTTATCGAGATTGGCTTCTATCAATAGTCCTTGTGTTTCTAAAATTGTTACAAGTTTAGGTTAATTTGTTTTGTTTGAGTAGTCACATGATTTCATTCATGACGTTTTCTTTGAAAATGTAGTTTTTTGATTGGTGTCAAGGCTCATGTCTCATCCCTTTCTACCTGTTGAATTTTTTGGCTTGATTAATCTAGTTTTCGCTCGTACTGTCAAGATTTTTCATAATTGATTGTCCTGCATTATACTCTAGATTGTTCTGCATTATCATTGAGATGTAGTCCTCTACTAGCACATAACTAGTATTTGTTTTTGGTAATCCTATCATTAATAATTTGATTATGACCAAAGGTACGTATATATTTCAGGGCTTTCGTAAGTCAATAATTTTTTTTTTTCCCTTTTTTGGCTTTTTGTGAGTGTGAGACATTGTGTTAAGAATCTCAAGAATAATGCACATCATTACACAATATTTATCCAAATTTAAAATTCTTTTGGTTTGAGGTGAGTCTATATGTAGATATAATATTTACCTTATGTTCTTATAATTCGTTTGAGATGACTTGTATGAGAAGCGCTTCTACTTATGCACACTTCCTAGAAGTGTTTCCATTTGAATAACGTCAAAATTTCAATGAATAATCAGAGAGTTTTGACAGTAAGACACACATTTTAAATTAATCACACTCGCGAAGATGTGTGAGAATTTGTACGGTGATGATTCTCCCTAAAATTAATGCCATCGTCACCCTTGAAAGTCTTGAAATAATGTGGCAAATGAATGAACGCACATATGACTCACATGGGTGATGCATCCAATGAAAATGTGGGCAATTATTTCGCTTGCCACCTATGGCCTTTAGTGAAGATGAGATGAGAAACCACATGTTCTTGACACGTCACGAATCTGCATAGGTGAGGGACCCAATATAAAAAAACTTAAAGGCCCTTGTCTGTTCAAACACTGAAAACCGGTGGTGGTCTCATTTTTTGGGATGAGAAGTGCATGAGGAAGAGGGTTGTTATTCACAGTACGACTGTGACATTTGTCGCCTAACACGTGGATCACCTATCAAGTTTTGTATTGTACGTCTGTGTTAAAAACTTTAAAGAGCGGCGGATGTAAATTTATTTTAGAGTAATTAAATATTGCTCGTATGAAAAAAAGGATTAATTATATTTTTTGTTATTGAGGTTTCGCCCAAAATCAAATTTGAGAGAAGAAGAGGGCTAAGAGCATCTTCAACCGATGTATCAAAAGTGCCATATAAATATTTAACAGTTAGAAATAACATCTCACATCACTCCAACCGATGTGTCAAAGCTGATGTGGAATGAAGGCTGGAGGTTGAGATGTTATTTTTGACATTTCAAAAGCAAGATGTCAAATAAATATTTTATTATTTTTAAAAGATAGTTGGCTATTACTTTCATTTATTTTTTTTTATTTTTTTATTTTTTTCTTCTTTATCATAAATAATTTGAATGTTACAATAATTATTTATTTGACATATCGGGTGGAGTGTAAAACTGTGTAAATGTCAAATTGCCACATCAGCCATCAAATTTAAATTTGATGTTTGGTATTTGACATCTCCCTTAGAGGCTGCTCGGTTTCGAAATTTTTTTAAGCCTTTTCTTTTAAAAAAAATTGAAAATTGAAATTTAAGTTAATTGTTTTAAACTAAATACTAAATATTTTTTTAATTGAACAAACTGACATAATTGAGATAATGAATTGAATTTGTTAACTACTGCAAATACAATGATGAAATCCGAAAAATTAAAATCACGGTGACCAAATTTGATTTCAAGCCAAACTCTAGTGACAAAAAATGTAATTAACCCTTAAAACAAATTCAAAGAGAAATTTGTTGATGTTTGGCTCATCGAAAACATATGTAAGGAAGGAAGAAAAATGTTTAGCAAGGAACATGCGATTGGTCGATTTATGCCGAGAGCAGAGGTTGCTTAAGTTGAAGAAGACGATCAGTTGGTTCTGCTAAGAAAAGCTCTAGACTTCAAGCGACTAGTCGTTGCTTCCCAACGATCAGTCAGTTTACACAGAGAGCTCCAGGTTTTGCGATCAATTGGACCCTTAGTTTTGTCCAGCTGGCTTTTTTCTTCAGTTTTGTCATGTCTTTTCATGTCCTTTTGTTCCCTATTCCAAGGAAATCTATCACTCAATACTTTTTGACATTCTTGGCACTTTTGCAATTAGTTTTGGGAACTAGGAACTCATTTATTGTTATTAGTTGTGTAGTTCTAGGTATTGACTTCTCATCCCACAAAAAGTTAAAGTGGATGATGATTGGTGTGTTGGAAGCTAGTTGTTGGAAGGAAGCTTCTCTCATGCTCTTGTAAGGAGAGAAACAAGGGAGGGTTCACAAGATGCATCAAGTTTGGTTGAGCAAAGAGTGAGAGAGAAAAACAGAGTGAGGATTGTGTTCTAAGGGGGTTTGTTTTTGTGTTAACCAATGTTGTAACCTATTTCTCGAAGTGAAATTTCTTAAGGTGATCATCAAAGAGGACGTAGGTGTTGAAAATATGCCTTAAAACCAAACATGTGTTGAAACTTTAAGGATATTTCATTACCTTTTATAGTAAATTATAAAGGTAATTAGTCAAATTAGGTTATCCACCTAAACAACAAGTTCATAGGCAGTGAGATGAGGAAAGCGATCTAAAGAAGTTAGGTCTATGAGATCTTTCCATATAACTCACACCTTGAAGAGTTCGTGGTCATAGGATTGTCAACTGGGTATTGATAATCCGCAAAAACAAGTACACACTATATCTGCTCAATTAGGAGGATAACTAGTCTCAAGTTATTTTTGTTGAGACACTAAGATAAGTGAATAGGTGTTCACTAGGGAGTGAATTCACTGAGCACGATTAACCGGGGATCTTGTGTGGAAGTTCTACATGCATGTCAAATAAGATCTTCATAGTTGCAATAATGTAAATTAGTCATCGACCTGAGTCACCACAGTTGTCTTGTGGAAGTGTCGTGGTCCTTTGACCTACTAAAATGTTGTCCTCCTCAGAGGCATAACCATATTGTATGATTGAGATTCACGATCAATCCATGGAGGCAGGTGAGTGTACAACAAAGGATCTCTACCTTTAGAAAATGAGGAGAATGCTCTAACAAAATGATTCAGGAGTCTTCGGTTGAAGCATTAGGTATGATTGAGAATGGTGAGAGAAAGAGAGAGAAAGAAAGAAAGAAAGAAAGAAAGAGCATTATTTTAGAGAAGGAGAGTATTACATTGTAATTCCAACTGAATAGGTTCTCCACCTTATTATATATTGGCTTGGGTAACCGTGAAATGTTGCTAGACGTCACTCACGGTTTGTGGAAGCCATGAGGATATGTCATAACTATATCCTCATAATAGAGAGAATTAAAAAGGGTTTTAATTCACAATCGATTAAGGAAGGGTCTGAATTGCCCACTACCTCGCCGATTAGAACCTAACGGATTGCAGGTAAGAGATGAAAAATCAATAAGGAGATGATGAACAAGGATTAATTAGTTAATAAAGATTAATTAATTAATCCATGCTCGACACTTGTATTGGGCCTAAAATTAGTTTTAGAGGTTCAAGACCCATTGGACTTTGACCCATTGGGCTCATAAGATGAGTTGTACATGACAACTTAAAAGATGAAGCCCAATGAGCAAGAATTTCGGGCACATGGTAGAGATGGTGGGTTTTGACCTACTTGATGACCCACATGGATCATTTCAAATGATATAGGTCATGGATGACTCAACTTGAAATGCCTAGCCTATATACAGATAAAGATCGGCATCATCTTTCTCTAGAGGTTAAGAAGGCTACACCATGCTCCCCCCTCTCCTCCACCATGGTTGGCCACACAAGGAGGGGGTACTAGCATCTCCACCTCCTTGTGGTTCTTCATCTCCTCCTCCATCCTTTTTCTTTAGTGTGTATAAAGTTAGAGACCAAACATTTGGGTGTCTCTCTTTTGGTGAAGGCCCTCTAAAGGCGATCAACCTTGAGCTTTTCTCAAGGTAGTGCTACAAATGTATATAGAATTCTCTAGTCTTTCTTTACTAGTTTGTAGAGTTGTCCAAGTGCTTCAATCCCTTTATGTCTAAACATACTTGTGTTGGATTTTGTTTTAAGCTTAAAGTTTTCCATTGCCTATAGATTAAGTGTAATCTCATCTTTGTGGCTTAATGAATCTAAAATATCCTAAGGTTTCCTTCAGTAGGCATATTAGCAAACCTTTATAAATTATTGTTTCTATATTTCTTGTTTATTTTATGAGTGTGTGAGTGTTTGATTCATCCTCTTCAGTTAAGAGTGTTGGTCACAAAGTCCATTGACAACAAGTTCTTGAGATATTTCCGCACAACAAGTGGTACTCGAGCTGCGTTAGCAGCATGTGCTCTTACGATTTCAAGAGTGCTAGTGTGTTTAAGATGGTGGATGGCAAGAAAACTTAAGGTGGGAGTAGCTCGTAGCAGTTGAAGCAACCACAAGCAACGAACATGAAGGTGGAGTTGAAGTTGTTAATCGGCAAGAAGAAGTTCACTCTTTGACAAAGAATGATGAAGTTTGCCCTTACAAATCAGAATCTCAACGTAGTTCTTGGAGGCAAGGAATAGAAATTGGGAACCATCATAGACGATGAGTGGAATTTGCTCGACTAGTTGGCCAGAGAGGCCATCGAGAACTACATCGTAGATAAGGTGCTCATCAACGTGATGCAGGACATAGTGAAGTAGACATGGGAAAAGCGCAAGCAAATGTTTGCAGGGATGTCGATGTCTAACAAATTTTCCTCAAGGAAGAGCTCCTAAATCTTCATATGAAGGAGGGAGGAAATTTTATGGAGCATCTAAGCACATTTAATAGGTGTCTTGCATATTTGCAGAGAATGGAAGTATTTTATAACACGGAGGATAAAGCTCTTATGTTGCTAACATCATTGCCTCCGTCTTATAAGCATTTTCAAACTGCGCTTATGTTGGGAAAGAGTTCCTTGAATTTTGAGGAAGTGGTGCAGGACATCATGATGCATCACGTGATTACTCAACATTCGGGAGATACCTCTCAAGATGAAGGTCTAGTTGCAAATATCGAAGAGAGAGGTCGTTCAAAAGGTTAAAATCCAGGGCAGAAAAAGGCTGTTTCGAGTGTGGGTCAAAAGATCATTGGTAGAAGAATTGTCCTACATGGAAAGATAAGAAGAAAAAAGGGAAAAAGGAAACTGACACAACTGAGGTCGTTACAGATGACGGTGGTGAACTTTTGTGTATCAATAGCAATGTTAATTCTAATGTATCTGCTATTTCTTCAAAGGCTTTCTCTTCTGACTGGATTTTGGATTTCGGGTGCTCATATCATATGTGTTCAAACAAGGAGTGGTTTGATACATATGAGAAAGAAGAAGAAGGCGAAGTGATGATGGGGGACGGCTCAGTTTGTAGAGTCAAAAGCATCGATTCTATCAAGGTGAAGATGCATGATTGCTTTGTTCGATTATTGGGGATGGTGAGATACATTACAAAGTTGTCTAAGAATCTCATTTCCCTTGATAGTCTTGATAAGAGTGGTTATACTTTTAAAGCTAATAGAGGGAAGCTCATAATCTCAAAGGGTTCACTTGTGATTATAAAGCCGAAGATTCAACCTAATTGCCTATATAGACTGTGTGGTACAGTAGTGACAGGTGGAGCAGTTGTATCCACTAGCAAGGACTTGGAAGATGAAACTCAACTTTGGCACTTGAGGTCGGGGCACATAAGTGAGTAAGTCATGCAAGAGCTATACAACTGGAAATTGTTGAAGGGTGTTCTTTAGCTGAAAGCTTGAGTTTTGCAAGTATTACATCATGGGAAAGCAATCTAGAGTGGCTTTCAAGTAGCAAGACAAGGAGGACAGGAGCATATATGTGCTAGATTATATTCACGAATCACAAATATGTATGGGGCCAACACTGGTTAAATCAAAGGGTGGAGTTTACTATTTCGTGTCTTTCTTGGATTATTTTTCCAAGAAGGTTTGTTGTTATTTGTTGTGTAATTCTAGGTATTGACTTCTCGTATTTACAAATAAAAAGGGGTGATTCCTAGGGCATGGGATTAGCACCTACGAAACAAAATTATCAATTTCTTTTATGGGTCAACAAAAAATCATCAATCTTAACAAATGAACCATCCTATAGCTATTAAATCTCGTCAACAAGATTTCAAATAATCGATTTAGTTAAGGGTTGCTAAGATCCTCGTTTTAGAAATGAAATGGAAAAGTCACACTTTCACTTTTTAAAAGAACAGACAATTAAATTAGATAAATTTCAACAAGATAACCTTTTTTTTCAATCGAATAATAAAAAAAATCAAGCACCAAAGAGCAACAAAACCAACGACCCCATAGAGGCAAACCTAAGTAGACAATAGTTGTACAAACCTCTACAAAGCCCACCACATAAGACATCACTAAAAACTAAACATGATTTCAAGCCAAATCCACAAGAGCCTAAACAATTCATAAGCCAAATCCACTCGAAACTTGTTCAAATACTGCTTAACTTTTGAGTTTCGATAAGAATAATTTTTCGCGTGAAAATCCTACTGGCCAAGGATACCTTCAGCCAGTACGTATTTCATCAAATTGTTATAGCTATAGTGGTGACCCTACTCGGGCATGGGATGGCTCTTGTTGTTTATAGCTGTTTAATTACAAGATGATGATAAAGCAAGATTTATAATTAAGTGATCAATTTCTATTAATTAATTATAAATTATACATTTGGAATGGATTTGGTCGGCACAAAACACATGATACGAGAAAAACTTATACCTGAAAGTTGAAACGTACGTACCTGACACTTAAAAACGAATGAGTACAACAAGATCCTAATGGGTTTAAAACGAAAAGGTTTAGGTTTTTCTAAATTTATATTTTATCTTAATTAATTGCAAGCTGAACTGCTAATTAAGAATTTCAACTTGCAACCAGAACTCAGTCTCAGTGTCGTTAAGCATCAAGTTTCAAAAATTTAACCTAGCAAGCTAGCTAGGCCCTTAATATTTCCATAACAAGAAAAGAAAAAGACTGTCCCCACTTTGTTTGAATGAATATAGCAAATTAGGAATTCACTCGTGACTTATACGACTTTGTTGGCTCATTGTTACCTAACTTTTATGAAGTCGTATATAATTCTTCCTAATAAGTGGCTGAAAATGCTTAACTTGTTGCTCTATACCCTCACCCAGTTGATTTGACCTCTTCCGAATAGAACCAAAAATGAAAAGAAGAGTCTCATAAAAAAAATAAAAAATAAATAAAATAAAAGAGTTGTTGGACCTTCAAGAAACTACAATATAGTTATATATACAAATTTTCTCCGTATACAGACATCTGGACGTTATTATCATGCGGATGCCATTGTAAACAGAGAGAGTAGTAGAAAATACATGACGTCTGCACAATAATAACGTCCAAATTTCTGCATAGGAAAATTTATGTGTATATATATATCTGAAGTAAAACAAAAACAAACAAAAAAACTACATGTTGGTAACCAAAATAACTATTACTAATCTACAATGAGATACTTCTCATGAATCAAAATACATGCATGCATGCACACGAGCATATACGCATATTTTTCTTTTCTTCCTTGTTTAACACGCAGTCGTTTTGTTTGACTCCATATTCCCAAGTCGTTAAATTGCAAGACATGCAATGCCCTTGAAAAATTCCACTTTCTTTTTTCTGCTTCCAAAAACTTCTGTAACTTTGCCAATAAATTTTTAATTTTGTTGTTGTTGTTCTTTTACATCATTGCATGGTATAAAATTGCTTACCCAATTGGTCAGGTACAAAAAATAAAAATAAAAATAACAAACCCCCTCAACTTCTCTCCCTTTGCTGTCATGAGATTCGAATCTAAAATCACTAATTTAAAATCACTAATTTGCAAGTCAATATTCTTTTTCACTAGACTAGATCGGTAGGGTTAAAGGAATTCGTTTATTGCGCACCCCTAGAGATCATCAAGTGTTACAAATTGGTACGCATGTAATTAAGTTGATTTCATTAATTAATATATGGCTTTTTGGTTTTAGAGACTTCTAGGGGGGTAGGAGCATTGTACTCGTTGCCAAAGTATATATTTTTTATGTCAACTTTATAGTCTATATAAACACATGTGACGAGACAACATGTTAACTTTAACATACTTAACGTGACCTAATTAAGCCAAATTCTGGGGTCCTGGTCTGGGCTGCTATATATTAAATTATATATATATATATATATATATGTTAAACATGCAGCCATACCCATATATATGGTTTGAGAGATAATCATGTTTGGATGTCTATGATTAGGACGGCAACGTGAAAGTGACCCGTTTAAAAGTGTATATAAAGCAAGTTGGCAAACCATAAAGTTCGAAATGCCATCCACAACTTTTCATGCAATGATGCAACCCAAAACCATAACCTTTGCTTATAGTTTTCTGTGTTCATAGAACTCCATACTATATATAATCTTCGGTTTGAAATGTTTTCATTTAAATCATATTTCCAATGTAGTCTGCCGGAAAAAAAAAGCCCGATCAATAAAGGGAGAAAGTATATAGTGATATGGTAGTACCATGTTAGCGGTGTATTTTTCACTCAAATATAGTGAATAAAGAGAAGAGGCGATAGTCAAACTTGAAACCTCTTGTCATGTTCCAACTTTGACAAATACATTGACTAAATTGGGTAACGGAGTCGACTATATGGACCAAATTGGTTAAATTAAAAACAGAAAGACTAAATCGGAGGATTGCATATAACCGTTTTGATATTTTTAAAAAAATAACCAAAAGTTTTCTATTTCGATGACAAACTCTCGACTTTAGCCCTCAATTCGAAGAGGGAAAATAAAACATACTACAAAGTCAAAAACTCTTGACCTCAGCTTCATACAGACTTGAAAGAGGCAGGCCTTTCCCCATAGGTACAATCGTTCAATTTAATTTAGCCCGTTTGCGGTACTGGCCTTCGGCTGAGCTTCTGAAATATAGCCGTTTGGAAATTACAGTAATGGGCCAGGAGATCATCAAAGTCCAGTATAGATTAAAGGGTTTCTAAATACGCACAAAACTTTGTTTTCCTAGGTTCTTATTAAGGTTACAAATAGCTTAGAAAACCCACACAACACAAGTGGTCCATGCTAGGCTAAGGGAAAATGCTAAAGATACCAACTCTTTTTCTATACAAATAATATTATATAAAAATTTAATCTAAATTACAGAGAGAATAATATTATTTTAATCTAATCTAAACTACGGAGTCTTCGAACTCGAGTGCTGAGTGGAGTCATCACTAGGCAATTACAGAAGCACGCATGAAAAAGGTGTTGGGCCAAGCATGTAACAAAATCACAGTAAAGGTAAAACCTTTACCCGTATAATTCTACTGCTCTTGATGCAAACGTGACAATTACAAGTCAACAGACGGTGTAACAAAAACTCATTCGAGAAAAACTCTCGTTCTTTTCCTGTTTCTTCTATACCTTTTTTCTTTCTTTTCAACAACATTGATCTAACTCCAATCTACACCCTATGGAAGTGTCCAAAAGCTTTCTTCAATATACTATATACAGCAGATAAAAGCAAAACCATTACAACCTTCTTTGAGGCCAACATCCTGAGGTTCACCCTCACACCATGTTTCCTCATTAGCCTCACCACTGCCACGCCCAACAGGAGAAGCCAAGAACCAACAGCACCGAGCACTGCCTTAATCGTGTCAGCAGGTCCACAGACATTGCCCAACACATCACTTGATACTTCCACATAAGACCATGTAGGGTCTGCTTGGCTGCTCTCTGTCCGGTTTAGTCCAAGACACTCATTCAGCCAATCTGAAAACATGACAAGCACTTTAGCTAGCCAAGCAACCTCATCATCAGAGATGGGTCGCTTCATCCAGTCACCCTTGTATTTGATATCACCCAAAGTGTGGTTGCCAACTCTCCTGGGCTTGAATATTTCATCACGGTGTTGCGTAGGCTGTTTTGCTTCTGGGGAAAATGACAGTGCCTTTACAATATGGCCGCCAAATAGGCAGCCTACCTGCGCTTTTAAAGAGTCTATGCACTGGAGGTTTTCCGCACCATTATCACCAGAAATGGCTTGCAACTCGGCTTCTGCACGTAATATGAACAACTGCCATAGCAAAAGAGTGACCATTGGTTGAGATCTCATTAGATAGATATAAATAACTTCATAAACATACATAGTTAGAAAACAATAATAATAATTAAAAACCTGAAGCAGCTGTTGCCCGCCATCTTCTCCATCACTGAACAATTGTAAATCTTTGTTCCAATTCTCATGCAAGAAAGACCCATCAGCATCATTCTCGGACAAGCCATCCTCCCAGTCCTAAGGTTACCAATAAATCATACCCAAAACTAAAAAAACAGTCTAACACTGACCCAAACAGTTAGGCAATCAAGCACACATCATGTACTTGAAAATAAGATTAACACATCAGACGATAGAGACATTACCAGCAATTGTTCACGAATTGGAGTAACAAATCTATATAAGCTATTAAGCATTGATTTGCCTGATCCTGCTTGTTTGGAATGAAAAGCAGTATCCACCATCTTTATAAGGTCCATTAGCTCTTTCGATGATGTCAATATAGTTAGAACCTATACAAAAAAAATTATAATCAGAAAGAAAAAAATGTCTTTCTATTAATTTCAGAAATAAATAAAGATTAAGTAATGCGTAGGTCATT